GCTCTGAAAAATAAAAAAAGGCTTCGACAAATACGCTATTTTGATCTCCAGGGGTTCAAGTAAAATCAGAACCAGCACAAGCTAGTTTAATATTGAGTCACATATCGATTACTGGGTTTTGTTATTGACAAAATCCCTAAATCTAATTTCATCTGGCGTACATTATTTTCGTGGAAGCCAAAGTTTGGAGATTTGACTGATCAATGACTTGGGACCGCACGGCCGAGTGGGGGGGGTGGGAGGAACCGGAGTATGAAAAAGGATTTGGCAGAGGGGTGACCCCAAACCCCTCGTATATTACTACTTTGTAGAATTATGTTACACTGGTGTAATTGTGGGAGATGGGGGCACGTGCGCCCCCGCTCGAGGTCTGTGGCCTGTGTGCTCGGAATTTCCAGTCATTGGTTTAACTGTGACTGAATTCATTGTGTACCACAAAGGCATCCCCCTTCCCGCAAAATGGACTGTATCACATGTGCCATTCTCATTCCTATGTTCCTAGAGCTTCTCTCACCTTACAATCGTGTTGTTTGGCAAACCATTTGATCCTCCATCCAGTCACATTTCTAGATGATCATAAGAGCATCAGAGGGCATCCGACACACAGATGTGTAAAACTTGTGACGATAATTGTAAACAAAGGAGTGAATGACTGTCATAAACTATGCAGAAAGAAAGAAGTGAACGCTCCTTCAATCTTGACGAGGGGGAGGTCGCGTACTGTTAGTATTACAATAAGGTCAAGAGTCATGTAATTGTATGTACTTACACCGTCAGTTAAAGCTTTTGCACCGTAGCAGAGACGAACTACATGTATTGTTGAAACATGTTTCCGAAGGATCAACAAGTCTAGATGTGATAGATAGCTAGATGGAGATGCGACACGGAACAAGGTCTATATGAAAATACGTACGTGCCATCCTGCAGATAGGCTTTAACTTATCCGTTTACCGAGAATACCGCACGACCTCAATTCCCACTCCCCTGGTTGCGTGTCACATATGCAATGACATCATTATTCTTCGTACGATTGGCCTCGCTAGCACTTGTACATACTATATACCCTGTGTTATCTGAGCGCTTTCCTTTCCTTGTGCTGTTATTTGAGTATGTTGGTCGTGGTTTGCATCACTGCCTGATGGCTGATGACACCGTTTCACTTTCCGGTGTCTCGCCTACAACAACGTGCCAAATACTTGCAGTTGGCGGGTGCTCTACAATGGATGTACACGTGATCATGGAGCTACACGTATTAAATGGATACATAAATAGAAGAGAGAGGAAGAAGAGAGACCCCTTGGAGGAGAAAATAAGGATTTTTAGACCTAGCACAGCCGAAACCCCATTGTTTACAGAGACATTTGCGATATAAGTGTCCCAATTGTTGGAACCAAACTGGTAGATAGTGCTTCACTAAATGTGGATAATGAAGTTTCGCAATAGTGCACTGCCAAGAGTTTGCAACGCAAATCACAGTGCAGGAAATCTGTTGACCCAATGTGCGTTGTAACTGGCTGAAGCGCTGCAAACTCTTGGAGGTGCACATATTTTCGTGAATCACCCGTATTAGCACACAATAGTTGCATGTTATATATAATTGTACACATATTGAACGGACATTTTGGTTCCAAAGTCTGAATGTGACGTCACGCTCTGCCCTGGTAAAAAAAAAAAACCTTCATTTTATAGAAGCATGCAATTAATTTGGCATGCTACGACATAAGATGGAACGAGTACTTGACTGAGGTGGGGAGCAAGGGTAGCGGGAACGAAAAGTATTTGGAGAGGACAGCTTTGAAGATTTCTTGTAAAAGGCCAAATTGATTTAACCAGAACAAGAAAATAAGAACACGCACTGGAATTTGCATAGCAATATGGGAGAATCTTTACTAAAATTATTTTTCCTTATTTACCTAAGGGAGTAGTGGAAAATTATTCCGTCGCGTATATTACCATATAGTGCATAGGTTCAGTGAATTAGGAGCCAGGGACTAAGACCTATTTATTGTTTCATTCTACTGAAATTGCCACAGTGTAGCTTGTATCATGAATGTAATTTTGTAAACATTCCGATATCCAATATGTCCTAACATCACAAATGACCATTAACGCAGTAACATTGGGTTAGTGAAGATTAAATGCCCTTAGCATGACAGTTTCAGTTTAGGCAAATCTCCATTCAATTTGAAATATATCATAATATAAGTTTTCTTGGAGGAATTAATTTCTATTAATTATAAACAAAACGACATGGGTTGCTACGATTATCGTCCTTTTTATTTGCACCATAAAACGTAAGTATCTGTGTATACCTCACACGCCAATGATTACTTTAAGTTATAGGACATTAGGGGTCTATAGATTAGCCATTTCAACGTATCACCAAAACATTGGAGGTGTCCAAGTTGGTCAACCGCCAGAAATATGCAAGCTGAAAGAAGGGTTTTTTCAATCGTAACCCTCCAAGACGAAAGTGTGCCCAGTACTTGGGATGTGGAGCCAGTACTCATATACATCAGAGGTCTGCAACCTGAGGCTCAGTTGTCTCTGAAGATGCTTACCCTGAAGACTGTCTTACTTTTGGGATTAGTTACCTTAGGAATGGTTTCGTCTCTTAAGAACACTGACATAAGGGACTTATCAGTATCGCATATATAGTTGCCTGAAGTTTGTACCGTCCAGATTACATAAGCAGCATAGACCTGGACATGAGATCAAGGGAGTTGTCATTGAAGCCTTTGAGAATGGATATGTCCAGTGCGTTCAGTAGCACACTATTTGGAACGAACGGCTGTATGTCGTGATTCTGAAATCCAGTTATTTATCAGCCATCAGAAACCTCATAGAAAGATAGTTTCCTCAACAATCAGACGTTGGATGTTGGAAATACTTGGCTTAGCGGGTGGTGATACGGAGTATTTTAAAGCTCATTCAACAAGAGGAGCAGCAGCTCTTGTTCCCATAGATCAGGAGTAGCCCAGACGGATATTCTTGAAGCTGCAGGTTGGTCAGTTGAGTCAACCTTTAGCAGATTTTACCATCGACCCTCTGCAACCGCCATAGTTGCAAGGACTCTGCTCAGTGAGGTGACTTCAAAGTCGCCAATTGATTGGAACCGAAAGAGGACGTAGTATAATTAAAGATTATGCAAAGGTACTTACCTGCTGTATAACCTTGGTTATACAAGTCCTCTGAAGGTGAGAATCAATTCCCACCCGACATGCAAAGTTATTGGGACAATTGATTCCCAATCCCTTGATTCTCACTATGGAAGTTAATCTGTTACTTTCATTGTAAATATGTTAGTATGTAATAGTCTAACTAGTGTTTATAAGTTTATACTTGCCTTGTTGATTTTGCAAGTTTATTGTTGTTGAGAGTTCTTTACATGTATCTTGTTGTTCTAGTGTAGTTGGTTGACCTTTAAGTCATTCTAAAGTGCAACTTCAAGTTGGAAGTTGTTTTTTAACTTTCGGCCCACCCATTTTTCTCTGAGTCAGACTACCCACCCTTATGTGAACTATGAGAAGAGGTTATAGGTCAGGGTTTGGGGTGGGACGTGACGTTATTGTTTTTTGAAGACTGGTGCACTGCCTGTGTAGCACGAGAACGCCACTTGATTCTCACCTTCAGAGGACTCGTATAACCAAGATAATACAACAGGAAAGTACCTTTGCATAATCTTTAACTGTCTGGTACATGTATATAGAAGTTCACCAGAGTTTCTGTACAGTAATCATAAACACAAAGGAATCACCTGACATTGCATCAAGTGCCGGTTGCTTCAGTATATAAAGCTTTGAAAAATTAAATCTTCAAAAAACCTTCATCAGGTGGGATGTGTCACACAGGGAGGTATGGCTAGATGTACAAATATCTCGATCAAACTTCGACGGTCTCCCAGAGATGTTTCGTTTGATTTGCTGATTACGTCATCATTTTGGGCTTCAGTGATCATAATGAGCAACTTCTGTTTTCAAAGTTGGATCAACGTGTTCAACATGGATGCCGGTATAGACCTTATTCATAATGTAATCTTGAAGATGGGGTGGTGCCATACTATTTGAATCACGTTTGTAATTAGAATGTTCAAAACGTTTAGGTATAATAAATTATTTATGTCACATGCACATGTAAAACTGGCATTCATTTGTAATGAACTTTTATTTTGTTGCTTTTTTTCACTCTCATGTTTCAAAAACACAACGTTAGCCTCACTTTCATTTCAAGACGGTCGACACTTCAATAGAAATTACACGTAAACGTGTCCTCAGGGGCCGACAGCTTGTGTCACCGGGATAGGCTCGAGTAAACGTTTTGAGCATACGCTGTAACTAAATTAAACCAATTCACTTGAGAGTAACATCCCTACAACAAGGCCTTCCCTGAGTGGGAATCGTCGGTGGTCACTGGTGGACATGTCGCCATTATGTAAAGTCACGTGTATCACACTCCACGTTATTGCAAACCAACCACACATCAAACGCAGTGCATTAGTTGTCTTGTTTCAGTCCAAGTGTCGGTGTCCCATGTCCAGACGCAAGTCCCTCGTGCAATTAACGAGGGTCTAGCCACACAGCTGAGGCATAAAATGAAACTGGTATGGCAAACAAAAGGAAAGAACGTTATTATAGAGTTCCAGATAGACACTGCCGCCATGATATCGCCGACCAATGAGTAGTCTGTTTGCTCGCCTTCCACCTGCAGTCTGGGTTCGATTCCCGGCCCGGTCTACATGTGGATTGGGTGTTCAGTCCTACCTGATTCCATGGGTTTTACCTACAATATTCCTCCAGGTTTTCCTCCCACATCTAAAACTGTATCTGCTTCTCATTGTCTCCTCTCTGCAGGTTTCTTTGGGCTTGCGTGTTACAGTGCGTAGGGCGCTTTGAGGAATTATTGGTGTCAATACCAGAAATACCAGAAATAATTAATAATTATAAATAATTATAATTATAATCCATCTGCTGGCAGAAACTCAACACTGCTCTGTGCAGAAATTCCTTTTCATTCCTGTGTACATAATAATGTACACTTTTATTTCAATACAAAATATGACATAGCCTGGACGTCCAGAGGGATTCTGTACAAAATATACAATGTAGAATAACAGTCAGGTATTAAAATACAGTTACAGGCTATGGAACAGTTAAAAACAGGCATCAGTCTAACTCTAAATACATACTTGTACATGTACTATCAATAATGCACATAAAAGTAATTACAGGACGTCTAACATATAACAATGCACCATGAACTGAGTATGCATCAACTTCTGAATATTCATATGCATGCGTGGCCAAAGTACACACAAGGATTATGCATAAAATGAATACGCATTTCGGTTCTGATCGAGTTTTGGTTTACATGAAATGTCGCCACAGAAAAATGGAAAAGCATACCAGAGTCAAAATGGGTTTAGATTTAGTTTAGGTTGTATTCAAGTTTGTTGTTGCCGACTCGAAACCTGTTTACTAGCTAGCGTGCATGCTGTATGTAACTAAGGAAAGTTGTTGCCAGGTAACAAACTTCCCTTTCATTCATGCCACGGACTCAACCGTCCGTTCCACTAAAAAGGAGAGGTAAAGTAGATCTGGATAAACGAAACAAAACAAAAAACGACAAGGGAGCTGTTCCAAATTTTAAGATTTTATGCCATTGGCTGTGGATTTACGACAGTGGGAACACGGCACTGATAATCACGGCCGCAAACTCAGAACGTTCTAAAGCACAGATTGTGGTTGACAATTCAATGGCAGTGGTGAGAACCCTTGAAAATATTCACACGACCGACGAAAGCCCTCCCAGTCTGCGTTCAATTCACAAACTATTCATATGAACTGCAACAAATTGATGCATTTTCTTGTCACTGTTCACCCCGTTACTTGTGGCTGGAGCGGTGACCAGTCTTGATCATTTGTCCGGTGATTGGTATTTTGACTGGTCTGGTGGTGGTCTTGGCTAAGAAATGGTCAACTGAGATCCGATAACAGGAAACCGAAGATATACAGTAATGTAACAAAATGTACAAATATCTACATACTGAGGAGATGACACCGGAAGTATCTAAAATTAAAGAGGAAAAATAACAGCTTTTGTGGCTCAAGCTTCTTCAGACACGCTAAGGATCGACAGACTTTAAGAAGCTGTGTCCAAAACGGCCTTCAAGAGCTACGGCTACATCCCTTGTCAGCATGAGTCTCTGTACACGTACATGTATTTCAAGAGCAAAGACCAAGCTCTTGGTTTAAACAGATATGGATGTACATGTAGGTCACGTTGTAGTAAATAACTTGTAATACTTGGTATGTAAGACAAACGGAACAAGAGTTCATAAGAAAAATATCGGATGACAGAAGAACAGAAACAAAGTTGAAAACCCTTCCAAGAAAATGGTAATACTGACATCAGGAGAGCTTTTAAATTAAACAGAAATGACAACAAATCGACATAAAATGATCTAGCATGTAGTACATGTACTCCATGCTGTTGACCGTACCACTCGGTTAAGCATTCCCATATGAGGACCCACGCAGCACACCACATGGTCCACTACATGTAGGCACAGTTATAAGTATTGGCTAAAGCAAAGAAAACAGTTAACCAACAGAACAGGTAACCAGCTAAATTGTCGCACATCGCATCGCTAAAATGTCGCATTGCTCATCACTGATTCCCAGCATTGTAAGCACATAAATTATGCTGAGCAATTTCTCTGGATGGAGCGCCAGCCCGAAGAGAAAGTTCTAAGCTCTTGAAATATTTATATTCAAGCAACTCAGTTCAGTTGACCAATTGAGACTTTTTGGGGTGGGGGATAGAAGAAAATCCGGAACAGAGCTTTTGATCCAATTGGCACAAAAAGTATTACACTTAGACTAAAGTACATAGCCTGTCTTCAGTCATTCAAAATTTTACACGTATAAATTATTTTCCCGTATTTACAACATTCTTGAAGATAAATTTTAGATATGCCCCGTCAACATTTCCACAATATTTAACAATACTGCTTAAAAAAGAAAAAAATAAATATGAAACGAAACGGAGACATGATTGTCTTTGAATTGCGCGCACTCGGGGTACACACGATGAAAACGCGTCTTTATCCTTTGATTATATACAAATGGCTAAAGAGTAACCATTTTTAAAAGATGATTTAAAAAAATAACGTCAAAAGCAGGGCAGCTTGATAATGACGATGTCATTATCTTGACATATAAAAAGAATTTACATGACATTTAAAGATAAAATGATATGAATTACAAGGAAAAAAGCACACCTAATTAAAAATAAACTTATTTTTTTTGTAGATCAGTTTTACGCAATATTGGTAATTATATGATTCAAAAAATGTTTATTTAAAATTCTCCACATTAATCCACAATGTTCTCATGATAATTTTCACAATTCTCCAAGTATAAAAAGTTCTGGCTTTCGTTTTCTTGATCTAGTTGATTATGTCACATCATTCAGAGTCAGACAATCAAACTTCGTCACTGATCTCAGCAAATGCAGCACTGTGCGCAGCACGGCTCAAGTCTATCCCCCAATAGGCTTAAATTCTACAAACCCATTGAATCTACACGTGGTATCAGGGTTGGTTCAGGTCGGTGCAACCCGCATATTCAAATCCAAGAGATGTGACGTGTACAAGTACGGGCACACGTACACACATTGTACTGGATATCATATAAAACAAACACGGGTACCCAGACACCTTTTCGTGCATGTCTACTCAAGAATTCTAAGAACACGTGAAAACGCCATCCACTGTGTCAGTTCTGTCTCACCCAAAATCAGGGGTGTGAGTGGCCACTTAAAATCAAAGCTGAAAACAGCCAGCAAAAAGCTGAAATGTAAGCAGTCCCCATACGTTTGTACACAACAGGTGCACAAAAAAGCTGAAATTGAGGATTAACATCTAAATAAAAAAAACTAAAATCAGCTCCAAAGCTGAATTTTTCACACCCCTGCAAAGTGCTCAAGCAACCTTGGAATTTGGACATGAAATATTTCGGCATTCCATGTGCATGTTCTGGTAGCCTACATGTTATCAGAGTTTCCATTCAATACCTTTTCAATTCCCTTCTTTCCCTTTGTCAAAAACCTCAGTAAAATTAGCCGAACACTGAGAGACCACAGAAATACCTGAATATTCTGAGCCCGGTTGGCATAGTCGGCAAACATCTACATGTAGACTTTGCTACTTTATCTATGTTTTTTTTTCCTTTTTCGGTGGGAGAAATTCACATTGTAGGGGAAACCTGCTTGACAAGGGTAGGCTTATTACTGTACAAGTATTTCAAAGATGACCCTACATAATATGCAACTTGTTTTCTATTGGCTGAGCAAAAAGCCTTTTTAAAAGTCAGCCCTACCCTCTTATATCCTTTAAGATTTTGTAGGATTTTGCAGGATTGAGGAAGGCAACGCCCAGCCACTATTACTTTAATAGGCTTTACTACTCCTTGTGTGATGATTTCCAGCACCAATGGATTTCTGTGAAGTTCAAAATGTCCATTAAACAAATTCTCATTTTGTGAATGACAACCTGCAAATGCTAATCTTGACTCCTCTTTCTGACTTCAGAAACACGGTTTCTTTTGCTATTTAGTCACTCAACACTGTGCTTGTTGTTAACGCCTCTTCTTCTCTGCACCAACCGTGGTGTACATTTTTTTGAGTGGGGGAAGGGGAGGTCTAGGAAAACAGAAGGATTGAAAACAAATTGCCCCTTCTTTGTTCATACAGCAACATAATAGGACAAACATTGTGGAGCTATTTAAGTGTGTTAGCCGAAATTGGATGTCCAATGCTTGTCATACTCTTAGCTGTCCAACTAGCTGCTTTATAAGAAAGCCAGTTTTTGTCTGGCTAAAGCCAGCATGGCGCTATCAACCTGAGATCTGTGGACAAATAAAACGTCACTGATGCGTAGATTTGGATTGAACGGCAAAAGAAAAACCCCCGGAGATTCTGAATAATCAAAGCATGAAATGTCTTCACAAGATTCATTAGGCCAAACAAAAAAAGGGGGTATTTCCGATTAATGCTGGACCAAATAGTTTGTTAAAAAATAACATAAAAACTATTTTTAATGGAAAAATTACCAAGTTGTGAAATCTCAAGACGTTACCCCAAGCCTTGTTTTTGTGTGTATCATCCTGTATTTTCACGTTTTGAAAATTCAGAGAAGTACATGTACATGTATGGTGTGGACAGTCCTGAAGGAGTTTTGACCACTTCCACTGAGTTTTCTGACCCAATGTTTATAAATGCTGTGAACTGTAATTGGGGCAGGCCTTGGATCAAAATTAAGCTTGTCAATGGCACAGGTTAAGGTTTTTAATTCTCAGGCTATTAAAGTCCCTGATATTTGGAGGCATGGTTGGTTGTTCTTTTGCCGTTCATGGTGGTAATTAAAAGGGACCAAAGGTTGAATGAAAGTGTGGTCCCATTGGCATGCCAACCTTAAACGGTCGACCGTCTGGAGAAGCACCCTGTGATAACAGACTATCCAGACGCATGTTGTTACCAAATGATTGCGGGTGTCTGGATCCAACATTACCTCTTAACGAGGCCATTCCATCATCCATCTGGATGGCTGGGTTACCATGGAGATGCATAGGTGGCAATCCCAGAGGCGGATCGTTGCAGTGGCCCGGCTGCGAATGCTGGTCATTGAAGAGGTTGAAGTTGAAGGGCGGGGGCGGGACGTTCACCCCGCTGCTGATCTGTGCCGTCTTGCTGAAGCTCGGGGGCTGGTGTTCGCTGAAGCCGGGAAAGTTCGGTCCAACATTCATGGGAAGGCTGCCTGGCCTGCCTGGCCCGAACATGGCATTGAACGGAGGGCCAATTTCAGAGTCGTTGCGGTTTTGGTGAGGTTTGTTGGACTGTGAGGGGCTGGGCAGAATGGGCCCTGGTAGGTGGGGCAGGTAAGTCGGCAGTTCGTTCCCGCGTAACCGACGGGACGTTGAAGGCGACAAACTGGACACGATAGAGGCATTGGAGGTGGTTGACGCTGGTGTGTTTTGGCTTGGTGTCATGCTGCTGGAGGAGAACAGTGGGAGGAATGGTTCTGAAGAATCACTGGAGCGCTGTGAAGAGAATCCCGGCCAATTTGTTTGATCCTGTCCGCTGCTGTCTCTGTGTCTCAGGGAATTGTCCATACCCTGCCCCTGACTTAGCCCGTGAAAAAATTGTTCAGAGTTTTGACTGCGTTTCCGCCCCTTGGATGATCCCTCGGGGAACCTGGAACCACTCTGGGAAGTCTCAAATGACTGGCGCTGTGACTGCACAGAGCTCGTTAACGTTCTTTCACTTTGCGTTGTCCTGCGCATGGTGTTAGCATGTGAGGAGGAGACCATGGGTTGGTGCATTTGATGGGCCGAGGTTCGTGTGTCTACATTGCTGGCCGTGTGATGTGCATCCAGCGACATGTTCGGCGGGCGCTGGTCTTGCACTGGCATGTGAGAGAGTCCATGGTGATTCGGGTGCAGGTTGGCACGCTTGGCAGGGTTGCTCTGGCTTGGTGTGCTTGCCATCCTCTTCATGGCCTGTCCCTGCTGCTGAACATGCATGGTCTGAGCCTGGGATACACCATAGCGTGCTGAGTGGTCTATATCTGATTGGGTGTAGCTACCACTTTTGCTGTGCAAATCATGGGACGGATCTGACACCTGAACCATATCACTTTGGCTTATATAGGCAGGTTGCGAATGCACTTGTCTGCCAGGTAAGTTCCTGCTATCTGGCCGGGATTCACTTGCATTGTTCATTGCACTGGGCTCAGAAGATACTGGCTTTTGATTGTCAAACATGTTCAGATTGAACTCCATGGGGTCACTGGGGTCTGATGACTGGCTGAGGAAATCCGAACCTCGGGCGGGTTGCAGAAAGTTCTGGAAGGAGTTGGATGCCTGGGTGGATCCCGAGTGGGTGTCCTCGTGGTGGAGGAACATCTGGCCTTGGTTCTGTTGGAAGGTGTAGCGCTTGTCGTGCATGTTGCTGCCCTGCTGCTGTTGTTGCTGGGGCTGCTGCTGATGGGAAAGATTGACCACTGGCGACTGTCGTGGGTTCCTCATGTTGCTCGGCTGGGTGGACTGAGTCTGTTGTGGATCAGATGGCATGCCATGACCTTGGAGGTCATGGAAGCCTGAGGGAGAGGTGTGATCGCTGATACAAGGCTGCATAGGGGAGCAATCAGGCTCTGAGCTACTACGTACAGAGTGGCTAGAGCTGTTGGATCCTCTACGACTGGGCTTCTTGGGCTTAAGTTTCTCCATTCCAACAGGGTTGGGATCTCTGTTGATGGGTACTGAGAAGGGCGATAAGTCAGTGGTTTGACTGTCCACTTGAGGGCTATGCTGAACTGGTAGTGAGGAACTTAAGTTACTAGCTGGCCGACTTACAGCCGTGGTGTCACTGACGTGTGAGGAATACATGGAGGGCATGTTGGAGCTATCTGGCTTGGAGGTAGTTGTTCGACTGTAGCCTTCATTATTGGATGGATTCCACAATGAGTGTACCTGTGCAACAGATGGCGAGGATGAGACAGTTGTAGGGAGGCTACTATCAGCTGTTGTCTGAGGTTTTTCTTTTACAACCTGCCTGCTGTCTCTTCGCTGGAACGTCATTACAAGACCAGAATCCTTGCGACCACTGCGCTGGGAGCTCTGGGAGATATTCTGGACGCTAAAGGAATGCTTTTCCCTGGATTGATTGGTGTCACTCGCTGATGAGGCCCGACTGCTCTCACTGTCCCCATCCCCCTCGGCTAACCATGGATACTTGTCAATTAAATTGGGATTCAATTCCCGTTTGCCAATTTGATCCATATCGGAGGTGCTCACCACTTTAGCCCCTTTTCCTGTATCACTGCTGTCTGGAAGCCGTTCAGACTGCTCCTTCTGGCAACTTGATCGTCGCTTGCTCTTGGGAATCTTTATCTTCAGGGGAGGGATCGTCTTTTCAGCTGTCTTGAGTTTTGATGGTGGCTCAACAGAGGGGGTAGGGCTTGTGGGTCTCTTTGGTGACTCAGTGATCTCAGAGGTAAGCGTGCGGTGCAGAGTCTTGATGGAAAACGTCTTCCCAGTTTGGTTCTTCTTCCCTGTGGAATCCACAGATTTTCCCGATGATGTGTTAAGAGGGACAGACATTGAATTGGAGGATTCAATACTGGTTCTGGCTGTGCTTTCAGCTAATGACATGAGGCTCTGAAGTCCAATGTTCTCAAGAGGTTCTTCTCTGCTCTGACTGCTGCCCACATCAGCTCCCATATTGGGTAATGTCTTAGTTCTTCCATGGTCCAGTGCATCCTGGAGAAGATTCTGAGAAGATCCCTGGATATCAGGCGTCATTCGACTTTCAGCCTGCAAAGGATTTTGAAAGTCAGGGGTCCTGCTGCCCAGTCCTCCTGGGCTATCTACCCTGTGTCTTCTGTCCATGGCACTTGGATGCCAGGCCATACTCCCACCGGATTGTGGTGACTCCAAACTACCTATACCACTTGTTGCCGGTGTTACATGTACATCCAAGATGGAAGGACGCTGAGGGCTCTGGCTGACGCTGCTTGATGGATCCTGCAAGCCACGCAGGCCATCATGTCTAGGCAAAATGGTTTTGTTCAAATCCACTAGTGGAGGTTGATCTTGGGGCATGCTTGAAGTGGGCTCAGTGATATTCTGCATTGCCTCACTAGTTGGAAAAGAACCAGAATCAGAAATTTCTCGATTGAAGTTCAGAGGTGGGGATTCTTGACTGGGTGTTTGAGGTGTGGAGGTGGGTTTACTGCCTATGTTGGATGACGGGCTCAACCACACTGGGGAAAACAATCCTGAGCTAGCAGGTTGGTTAAATGATGCATCTGAGGCTTGAGATTGGCCAGGCAGCTGGATGGCTGCAGAGCCAGAGGTGGAGGGTGGCTGACTTTGGGACCTGACAGGTTGGAGACCCCTGGCAAGCTCCGATGCCTTTGAATGATGAGATATCCACCCTGACTGGTGTGCTACCTGAGTTGTGATTGGATCCTGCTCACTCTCGTTAATGACAGGGGTTGCTGTGCGTGATTCAGGCTTCTGAATGCCATTTTCAGGCATGGATGTATTGATGGAGAATATACTTGGGATTGGAGATATGAACCCTGGACCACTACTGTCTGAAGTTGCAACAGATGCCTGACTGACCGTTGGTGAGTCTAGCATAAAACCTGGGGCTGATGTCACAACCGGGACATCACTGACAATGCCTGGCTGGGTGCTGGTAGAGGATGCTATTGTCTGCTCTGGTGCAAGATTTGGGGCGGAGTCTATCCCATGTTGGGATGTTGCCACTGGCTGTCCAGTGCTGAGTGAGGAGATGGAATCCTGCAGACTGTTGAGGGCCTTCAGGGAGCCGACATCACTTTCGTTCTTGGAGAAATCAGTCTCATCCTCAATGTAGGTTGGCAGCCCACTTACACTCATTGAGCTGCTCAAGATATCGCTGCCAAAGTTGAAGGAGGGAAAAGTGGTGAATGCATTACTGGAATTAGTTGGGGTGGATTCCGTTGAACCACACACGGAACTACTACTGGCCACAGAAACGCTGGGGAGTTCATTTGCGCTTCCAGCAATAAGTGCCTCTGTTGAGAAGCTGGATGAAAGAGCTGCTGAGGCATGGGCATCAGTTTCCTTGTCATCACTACCGTCTGGTTTCTCCATCCAGCTTTGCAGCAGAGACTCGGCTATCATGTTAGCTCTCTCAATAGGAGAGCCTTCCATAGATACATCAGACTTTGCTGGTGCAGCCTCCTCTGTTGAAGTGGCACTTTTTGAGTGGCTGTGATGATGGTGGTGGTGTTTCTTCTTTTCTTTATCCTTATCTTTGTCTTTCTCCTTGTTTTTCTTTTTCTTTTTCTTCTTAGACTTGTGTTTCTCGTGACGATGACTGGATGTGTCCATGGCTTCTTCAGCTGAGGGTACTACCCCCTGAAGTGGTGCAGTGAAGTCTCGGCCAAGTTGGATACCTGACTGTAGGGTCACAATACCTCCAACACCAATGGTTTGCTGGGCAGCAACACTGGGTTTGATATCCGATCCTGATGCGGGCATTTCACCAAAATTCATCACGGGCGAATTCTCGCTCATGGAGTTGGGAGAGAAGATGGACTCAGCTGCTTTGGCCAGGATGTCATTGTCTCGATCATTGCTGTAGTCTCCTAACTCCTCTTGGCTGCGGTCTGAGGACTCCTGGCCAGAGGTGAGAACGTTGAGAGGGGCCAGCATGCTGGAATCTCCAGACGGGTTCAGCCCACTTAATTCCTTTCCATCCTGGATGGATTGGGGCTCTTCTTTCGGTATCAGGAGATCTTGGCTGGCAAGAACGACACCCTGCTGAGAAGTTCCCTCTCCCTGACCAGCCTGAAGGTTGCTTGGGGTTGCCTGGGGCTGAGTGAAGCTGACTCCAGACTGATTGGCTGTGGTACCCTGCTGCGTATTGATGGACACAGCATTTTGGACGCCAGGCCCAGACATGATGATCTGCCCAGCAGTGTTGGCTTGCAAGACTCTGTTTCCCTGACTCAGGGGGAGAGTTACAAAGTTTGGATTAACCCCTTGTGGTTGTTGCTGTTGGGGCTGCAGTGGCTGCATCACAGTCTGGGCTCCTGATGGCGCAGCTGCTGGGTTGCTCTGCTGCTGCAGGATGACTGGAATCAGTTGACCGTTTTGCTGGATGTAGACCAAGTTCTGCGTCATGACTGGTCGACTGACCTGCATTGGCATAACTAGGTTCTGGGGTGACCCTTGGTTTGGCTTCTGTATCATAATCTGCTGGCCTTGTTGGTTGACGATAACATTCCCTTGATCAGGACCCCCTCCAGCAACTGGTAGACGGACAGTAACCCCGCCAGGGGGTGGCGTTGCTACATTCATCTGCTGCTGTGCACCTGCTTGGCTGACTGATGGTGAGCCTGTCCTAGATGTCTCAGATTCAGTTTCAGAAATGTTCTTTGCCTTTGAGGAGGATTTCTTCTTTGATTTGGGGGTGCTTTCAACCCCTTGCATGATCTGAGCATTGACACTGCTACCACCAGAGGCAGGCTGGGGCAAGATCATTGGTTGGGAGGATCGAGTGGCTGGTGCGGCTGAGGATGGGGCAATACGAACTGGTAGATTCTGGCCCTGGCGAACAGGAAGAGTTAGCATAATTGCCTGATTGGCTGTTTGGGAGGTGCTGGCCTGTCCAGCCCCAGGCACAAGGGGAACAATGTAACGCAAAGTCTGTAACTGGCCTGGGGCTTGTGCATTACCCCCCTGTAGCACCACAGTGCTCTGGTTTCCCGGTGTCGTGATGGGCGTGTTCACAGCTTGGGTGACCACTGTGCTATGCGCTGTAGGTGTGTCAGAGATGCTGGAGCTGAGTTGGGTGCTGGGTTGGTTTACTGTTTGCTGCTGTCCAGTTGTGATCTGTGTCTGGGACGTGGCGGCGTTAGCGTCGACCGTGACTTGATTCCCTGCTAGAGACTGTGGCACTGCTGGTTGATTTGTCAGCACCACTCCAGCAGGAGTGGTTTGCTGGTTTCCGGACATGGTCACAACCACTGATGTCTGATTGGTAGTGCTCTGGTATTTACTGACGGCAGGAACCAGGATGTAACCTGCACCGTTGGGGTTGGGCTGGAGGATGGCCATGCCTCCCTGGGTGCCCTGGATATTGCCAACTAGTGTGGTGGGTCCTCCTCCCACAACTGGAGTCTGCATCTGATTCACCCCCTGGACGGCAACGGTCACCTGATTAGGACCTCCTGGCAGGTAAGTGATGTGAGGCTTGGTCTGCATTGTGGCCACCTTGCTGCTGACCGACGACGAGCTGCTGTCAGCCTTGCGGGAGGGACGGGAGGTAGACTTGGGCTGGTCCACAGTCCCATTGGGATGCGCCTCCATGTCTTGGATGATCTCTTGATAGCGTTTGTTTTCTGCCCGCAGCTTCTCATTTTCCTTCCTGAGCTTCTTGATCTCTTCAGCAGCTGAAATTGAAGGACATAACATTTCATCAAACTATATTGATTCAAAGATCACAAGTCAAATCACAACTTTCATACCAGCTTGCTAAGCCTCTTTTTCAACTCAACCTTTCATCATCACAAATGAGTTTCCTCAATGTAATCAAATCAGTTCATCACTTCCAATCACAAGAACTATCTTTTTTATGATTGTCATAATTTCTGGAGGTCCATTTTTTGTGTTTCTAATTCTGGTACACTTCTTATTATACATGAATATATTTTCTTGAACAGCAGAAAGAAAATTGGAAACCACTAATTACAGGTACATGAAATTTACTTCCTCACTTTGAAGTGCAAAGTGGCTAAACCAAACTGAGCAGTGAATGCTTCTATAAAAGTACATGTACAGGCATTTCAAAACTAGAAAATGTGTTTTCTCCGAGAGTCACATTTCTGCTAAGGTTCATACTTAATGTACATGTACATGTATATACAGGCATTTCACGACTTGTCTTTCTCCAAACCAAATGCAAGGCTGCTACATGTATATCACATGAACTACAAGAATCTTTTCTCATTCTGACAATTTCTTACAATGCATGGACCATGGTTTCCTGTGATGACTTTTCAACTTGAATGAAACATGCAACCAAATGCGTACTGTAAGGGCTCCAGGGGTTAAATTCGTCCTGTTTAGGAACTGTTTATCATGTCAAAGGTCGCCTCTTGACCTTTCATTTTGTACATGTACTGTATATGTACATTTTGAAGCTGACCCATTTTGCAGAGCTGATCATAATTGGATTGCCCTCAAGGGCGGATCCAGGATTTTCCCAAAGGGGGAGGGGGGTACAATGGTAAAATGCCCGGACCGCCTTGGGTTTGGAGCCATTTTGGATTCTATACACTCTATGATGCAATTTCAGGCAGTATGCCCCCTCTTTTCTTCTCACTCTCTCTTTTCTTCTTTTTTATTCATTTATTGAAAAATTTTGAAAAAAAAAAGGGGGGGGACAAAGTTCACCGACCACTTCCCCTGGATCCACCCCTGGCCTACTGGTATTTTGAACAGACAAGTAGAGCAACTTGAGGAAAGTACTTCTGTCCTGCCTTCAAAAAGTAGAGTCACACTTCAAAGAAACGGTGACCCCCCACTCACCTTCAGGGTCTGAGGTATTTGCAAGCAGCAACTTTTCACTCTTCTCGCGGAGTTCATCAATATACAAGCAAGCCTGCTCCAGGATCTGATTCTTGCTCTACAGTAGGGGGCAGAAGGGGGGCAGAAGGGGGACAGAAGGGGGGTAGGAATGTTACCAATACATCATGCAAAACAATTTTTATGCAGTCAGAAATCATCCGGGTCAAGTGCATAGCATCACATTGATGAGTCAATGTTTGGGTTCATTACCGCCACTGTAAACATTTTTAGAAATGCACTTTTTCCAGAATATTTAGAATTGATTTTAACCTACATTACATATGATTACTAAACATCAACTGGCAATTGATTGCCAAAAAGTTTAAGAAATGTGAACGAAAACTTTTGAGAAAGACCAGACGCAATGCTTGGTCAACACAATCAAGGACTATGTAATAAAACAGTGCTACTCAACTATTTGTGCAATCTCCCTGCAAAACTATTAAAATGAGCCAGTTTGGTGTTCCAACAGCACATGCCCAGTATGAGGCTACCAGTATTTGATAACAGCTCAGCACATGCACAATTGGCTGTCCTATCAGTGCAGCTATACGGTAACTCAAGCCTGTGCTTTGCTCCTGAAAGACCTTGACCTTTTGAAGGTTTCTTCAACCATAAGGTGATTTTTATCATCATGCCTTCTCATCTCTTCTTCGATTTCTTTTTCATTGTGGGTTTGACCCATTTTATTTCCCTTGTTAAATATTGCTCAATATTTTTTTAGTGGATGGGAAGTGGCAAACCCCTATTCCTTGCAAGACCCATGTCAATTCAATCACAACTCACCATTTTGGTGGTCTGGCATATTGGGATGATATCCCCCAGCTTGATAATGCCAATGTTAATCTTGCACTTCCGTCGCCGCTCAATCTCATTGTGCGAATCTCGCTTCTTCCGTTCTTGCCTGCATATATCAAATAACAGAAAAAAACACAAAGACACCATCAAAACACTTTGCACCATCTTGTGATGAATAAAGGACATAAATTGTACATGTTTCATGTACACAACCATTTGTACAAGCTAGCACATCGGTAAGAAAGTGCCTCTAAAGTCACAACACTGAACAATGTCCCGGCAAGAACATTGCTTGTTTTGATCTGGGACACGTGGTGTTCCTATTGAGAGCCATAGTTGTTCTTACGTGTAGACGGTGACAATCACGTGTATGCACAAGCAACTCAGGAAGAGTGTGTTCCTGACGGCAACTCAATGAATTTCTATCAAGAGACAGTTATCAACAACCAGTTGATGACAATGGAAACAGAAAATGTTCTAATGCCTCAGGGGCTCTGTTATGCTCTGCTGACACTTTGAGCAGCATTGTTTAAGTTTGACTGCCAGGCAGACCTACATGCCAGAGGCAGCACAGTCCATCAGGTCAAAAAGTCTGATACACTTTGATCACTTGGCAATCAACAGCAGCCAAACAAACTGGCCATGTTGAGACAATGGGAGCTAGTCCCACTGAATGCCACTGTTGGATCTTGTGGTGACTGGCAACCACAGACTCCCAGGCTGTTTGACCTGCGGGAGAATTGACCTGTTGGATCTTGTTACACTGGGCAGGCTAGCCACTCTGACAAATGATGCAGACTGATGTGTTTGGCAGGGTTTCTAGCCAAAGTGGGCTGGGGATTAAGGATAATCTACGTACATGTACATGTATTACCATCGATATAATAGTAATACGCTGATTTCGCTTGGTTGAGAAATACATGTAACCGTTGCCTGCACTGGCATGAATGATGCATGGGGGTGCAGTTGGGGGTGATGTACATGGACCAGTACATGTATATTCATGTTGTATTGTGGTGTAACAATCAATGTTGTAGTCCTGACCATCACAAGACCAGAAACAAGACCAGAAACAAGACAAGACACAAGACCAGAAACAAGACAAGACACCAGACCAAGCACAAGACCAGTCACAAGTAACAGGGTGAACAATGTCAAAGGAGTGGTTTTGTTTCAGTTCATTTGAATAGCTTGCGACTTCAATTCCTACTGGAGGTCTTACGTTGGTCTGAAGATGGCCTTAAGTGGTCTTAACTAAAACACTGGTAGCAATTTCATTAATGGTGATTGGTTGAAGGAGGAATGAGCAACTCCTCCAGGGCTTGGGCAAGTATTATAGGTATTTATATGAGGCACATCATCAATGAAGCAGGCTGCTTAGATCGTGGACTCGCTGGAGTATGCATGCCTTCGCATTCAAATATACATGTATCGTTCCGACCACAGGCTGTTGGTGTTGTCTGATGCTCTTTTGTTTGGGGAAGATTACAAAAGCTCACGAATTCCAGCAGACTTACCGCGTGCTGCATGGTTTGGACCCATTGGTAGGGACCTTAGCCTCCTAATAGCCAAAGGTATTTGCATTATGCCATTGGTTTTGAGCTTGATAACATGTATTCTTGAAATAAATTCTATACATGTACATGTACATGTGTATATCGGTATTATCGACATCAGGCCGCAGATACAGTGTACGTATCAATATCGGCAATTATGTACATGTACTGTAAGGTTCTAAGTACTTCACATTTTGAATGACAAGGAAAACTTTGGGATTTTGTAGACTCCCAGTCACTGAAAGATACGAAAAATTGCAGACTTCAGCAGCAAATTAATGGGCATGACTTACTGGGCATCCAAATCACACTCAGCAGATGATAAGCCTTGCACAGCTCAACGTGCATGTCCAGTATGTGCATGTACATGTATACATATAGGCACTGCATTGAAGCATCATAAACATCATGCAACATGCTTTTTGTGCCAAATAAATCTGCTAGGTACCATACACGCATATACATGTTCACATGTATAAAGGCATAGAAGTTCAGAATTTCTGGAGTTGGCAGGTCAAATTCACAAATGCTGGGTAGACAAACTCGCTGACCACAGTAATGCCATCACTGGTCATTTCAAGTGGCCCCCGCTGATGTTGATGAGCACTGTAATCACACAAAGCCCAACACAATGCTTTCTGCCATAAAAGGGGGCCATTGGAAATATCACCAGATCGGTCTCTAGTTCAGGTTTTCAACATCACCCTCAATCACCAGCAGAATTGCATTGGCAAGGCATGTGTACGTCTGCCAGTACTGTCTCAATCCAGTCTTGAGCCAAGGCTAGTTTCGAAGGCAGACTGTGGTACTTACGAGACGTTGGTGTTGATGTTGTGCATCTGAAGCCCCATGTCCAGAGGAGTTGTAGTCAGCAATTGCTGCGTCATCACTGTCCAAAATAAAAACGAATCAGACAGATGGAAATCATGTCATTAAATGCAGTTCCATAAAACTCAAGATTCCAAGAGCCCAGACTACATATGCCACTCACCAGCACAGATCTTGTCGCTGCCAACACCATAAATTGTGAAGATATAAAATGAATAGCAGCGAATTACATGTATGCCCAATCAAAAATGAACATGCCATGTAGTTCTGGAATGCTCTGTTGGAAATGTGATATTGAAAGGGTCAGACCATTTCCAGAGGTACATGTACATTGTACATGCATGTATAAAGTGAACCCACATTCCAATAGGGTTGAGCATGACTCAAATCCACTTTTGGAGTCAAGTCCGTCGCAAGTCCTTTCAAAAATGTCCCTCCACAAGTCCAGTCACAAGTCCCTTCACATGGCCAGTCATAAGTGACAGGGTGAACAATAAAGTCAAGAATTTTCTGCTTTCTCAAAGTCAAATGCTGCTTTCTTCTGCTTTCTAAATTTTGTGTACAAAAACTGTATGTGACTGTACATGTACTGTAGGCCTACATTTACCGTACATCGACAGGTATCTTTGGCATAATGATACATGTAGGGCCTACACGCACCATGCCACTGTAATCTTGGACTGGTCCCTGTCCCTATTAGTTTATTCATAAGCCGTGAGACGTCTGGGCACTATGTACATGTAGGGAACGGAGACCTGTGCGATCTCCGCAGTGCGGAGCCGGAAGAAATCAATACTGTGATATCGCAAAGGAAAAACAGGAGGGGAAACGCTAGCAAATGTTACTTTCAAATTGAGTTAAACAGTGAAAATGAATTCTCATTCCTAATTTGGGTTCATATTTATTTGATTAATTGTGCAGAAATGATAAAAAATATTTATTTGTTTTATAAATTTTTTTTTGACCGAGAATTGCGATTTCCGCTTTCTACCCCGAAATCCGCGATTTTCGCGGATTTTCCGCAAAGCGGACAATTCTTGACTTAAAGTGAACGATGACAAAAGAATACTTTTGTCAAAATTGATTTGAGTAGCCTGTGAATTGGCTTATTAAGACTGAATGACTTGTGATGGACCTGTGATGGACTTTATCTCGTACAAGGACTTAAATGTACAGGACTTGTGGTGGACCCGAATACAACACTGTCCAACTCAAGTTTTGAAAGCACCAAGACTGTTTCCGACTTTTGAAATGCTTCTTAAAATAATAAACAGAAATAATCAAGGATGGGTTCAGAGTTAATTATCTGAGCTGCCGTGGATATTTGACAGTGGCATACATGTAGTCCAATGAGCTGGTTCAGTATTTCAACAGCATATATGTACATGAAAGCCCAAAATGAACTGGGATATAATTGAGGATGGGTTCACAGTCAAATATCTCTGTCGTGGATATTTGACAGCGGTGTAGTCCGATGAGCCAGTTCAGTATTCCAACAGCATGCCCAAATGAACTGGTTCATACATAGTACATGTACATATATAAATACATATAATGTTTATGTACATGTACCACCACTGCCCAGCCACAGTGGAGACAACATGGACTAGCGTGAGTCTTCTGGATGACATCATGTCTTTGGTCAGCCCGATGCTCCGATGTGGACACCGCCTATGGAACTTTAGTCCTCTTTTTTTATCTTGAAAACAATATGACCAAATAATGTTCCTCAAACAAAATTCTAAACAGTCAAATAGTTCCCATACACAAAACATTGATCTGCACTTGGTCCCAGTGCTGTCGTTCGTAATTACACCCATTCACTTCTGACTTCACGATTTAAACCACGATAAACAGTCCGAGCATCACTAGCGCTTGATGCGACCTCTGAGAATTTCAAGTAATGTCTGGCAAACAGTAACGCTTCTTGGACTAAGAGTGGAAACGTTGCCAATGCTGAGGCCGGACAATGTTGATGCAAGACACAATGCCAATACTGTACAGTGCTTTTGTTGACGGTTATAAGTTTGGATATCCACTCAACCAGACAGGCCTGATTTGCAGCAGAATACCTACTGTCCCACTTAATATTCATATGCCAGCCAAAGTGACGGTGGGATTTGGTTTTTTCAAGATGTATTTTTTTGGTTTGTCTGGTTTGGTTTGTCTGAGTGGGCACTGTGGCCAGTGTGGGACTTGTTGCAATGCAGCAAAGTGCTACCAGGCAGCCATGGGGATCATACATGTACATGTACATGTTTACATCATGTTCATATACAAGTCTTGTGGGCTCACACACATGTACACATGTACATGTACACATACATGTAAGCAGAACCTGCTCAGCAAAAAAATTGGTTGCATTCACATGTACATGTATGCATGTAATTCTTGTCAACACAAGGACACTCATACATGTACGTATGTAAGGGCATGAACAGCAGGACTATGAGGTACATGTACAGTCCCTGTACATCCTGTAGATGAGCAAGAATACATACATGTACATCTACAGTGTACATGTACATGCATGTGTGTGTGTCCTCTTGATTAGACCAAAGTAAATGCACATGTACAGTGCATTGTGGCAGCAAGGTTTGAATGTTTTCCAAGGCATGACGTGATTGGGAATAAGCCTAATGCAGACATCAACCTTTTCCTGCAACCCAAACACTGACGATGATAAAAGCAATAATGACCAGCAATCAACTTTTGGTCAAACAAAGACACGTACGGGTATGTACATGTGCATGCTTAGACGAATATTAAATCGACTGAGTTGATCATATTTGGTAGACGGAAAAAAAAACAGAACAAGTCCCTATGCAGAAAATTCCACACCAGCACGGGGACTGGATTTGTGCCGCACATGTACATATACGTTTTGGGGGACTTTGAAATCTCACTGCAACACATCCTGGGTTCCATGCATACAGGGTACCATGTGTATACATTGTCAATGAAACCGTACACATACATACATGTATACCCTGTCATTGTGAATTCCATTCACCAACATGAAGAAATCCCACTTTCAAGGAAGAGACATACACATGGATCACAACCACCGACCGACATCGTGGCCACAGTACCACCTTTATCATGCGACAAAGTGATGCATTTTTCCCACCAAACTAAGTGACAGGCATGAGTTTCTTTCGCGTATTTTGAACTCCCTGTTGTCACATACCTCTGCATGAATATTTTTATCAGAAAAGGTACACTCAAGGACTTTCAAGAATCTGTGATGAATTCCATGACTTTCAAGGCCGTACCCCCAAAAAATAACACTCCAGACTTTAACCATGTTCAAGGACTTTCAAGGTCTGTATAAGCCCTGATCAAGAAATCATAACTATTCATGAAAGGAAACAAGAAATATCCTGCCTAACTGTGGAATTTGGTTTCAAACAATAAAGAATGAAGAACTTTGCAACTTTTTTAGAGTATCGAAAAATCCCAGCTCATTCAAGTCCAGGGTCACCAAATTACCTTATTTTGGGGCATCACAGCTGTCGAGCATGCTTTTTATACGATGATGTAAGCTACAGCGCATGTATGTGGTTAGACTTCCCAACAGGGAACTGAATAATTATCTGCTGGCATGCATGAAGTCCATGGTGCTGATTTTCTGCCCATTGTGTTGTATAAAAACATTCTGAGATCAGATTGTGGGAAATTAAATACATGTACGCTGTACATGTAAGATATGGTGCCCAGAGCAATTGCAGAATACCCGCCACTCCAAAAAATAAAAGGATCCCTGGTATGACTGGTTACGTACGTGGGTACAAGGTGAAACTCCCATGAGAAGAGTGTTGACTTGTACCTGGCTATGAGGTTGATCATGCAGGGTGGTGGGGTATTCTGCAATTGAGCTTGGTACCCTTCAAACTCAGTGAGTTATTATTACACTATGAACAGTTATGACAATCATGACATTGACCAAACAAATGGGGTTTTGTGACAAGATCCCTCATTGCTGCCTGTATGCTTTTCGTTCTTCATTTTACAAACCTGACAAACATGTATGCCATGTGGACTGATATCATGGTCATGACTGTCATAACTGTCGGATTGTTGTTTTCATCACCTTCGGGATATTTGGGAACCCCAATTTATTTGTCATTTAATCTTGTAAAACTGGTCAGCCCTTCCAGAAAACAAAGGTAATGCTCCCTTTATTGTGCTGACCCTATGTTTCCCCTCATACTCTATCTCAAAACACTGTCCTCTTTTCACATCAACCCTACCATGCCTACAGTTATTCAGCACGATCAAGGTGAATCCTAAAGTTGAATGTAGGTACCCCTTCAATTACAGGAACGGAACCCCCAAATATACAATCCCCATCATCATCACAACACGAAATGATGTTCATCTAGGCATACTAGGCCTATGTCTGTCATGTCTGTTCAGTTTTATTTTCCTTTTTACAGCCTAAGTTTAAGTCGGCCTCTGATAACAAAGGCTTATAAATGCTCAGTTACGGGATCATATTCATGGCTGTCTATAATTTCAATTACCAAATTCAATATTTCAACAATGCTGCAAAGAATTAGTAAAGCAGGCATCGTATTTTTCTCCAGCGCTATTCACTTGTGCACATTACCATGCATATGACCCTGTATATAACATACCCGTGTCCACTGTTGCGGTGTTGTCCGACTCCGCGACTTCACCGTTCAAATACTTTTCAGCCGCATTTGTTATTAGTTCTGTCCTTCGGTTGACTTCATTTTCATCGATCTGGTGACCTTGAATATCTTCTGCATCCATGTTGAAATTATACAGTTACATATAAGGATCCATAAGTGATATTTTGGGCGAATTTTTAATTGTTTATGTCAAAGAAAATAATTCGCGACTGTCTTGTCGCCATTTTGACTGACCGATGTCTATAACCCGCCTCGTCACGTCATTTGATTCACATGTGAAATCTAACCGCGGAACCAGTCTTGAAATTGGCAGCCTCGCTTCGAAAATTGCCAGACAAAATTTGGCGCACGTGAGGGCGCTGTTACAGTAATGTGAGGTGCATGAACTGTTATCGTTGTTGACGTGTGATCCACTTACGTGGGCTACGGCTGCATTCACAGCTTCCTCTACGGAATCCACACAAAGCGGCTACATCCATTTCTGTATTATGTGTATTTTATTGCCAGTCACAGCCTTGTGTTTCGGACACATCCTAATTACATTGACAGCAGATTACGTTTGCGGCCCATATCATTAGAATGTGAACCCAATGCCCTGTAGGCCTACTGTGTACGTACACGTATGATTACATTTCAGCTTAAATGGTATTGACGATTTTTCCAGCCTGTATTATTCTACACGACAGGCTCTTGTTGAGATTTTACGTTTTATTCATAATCCACATAGAAGGTCAAGCTCCCAGTGCTCAGCAAGGCAGATACAGTACACGTAGTCTTGTTCACAAGACGTTACTACTCGGGTGTTCTCTTGAAAGCGCACACAGCGCAAAATTAGAGGGCGCCATAATAGTGGCCCGTGGCCTTGTCCTGATCGATACATGTATTGGAGGCGAGGCAAGATCTATTAAAAAACCGAATTCACAGTAGAATCGATTAAAGAGAACTCTCGTGAGGACGTTTTGTTGGCCAAATTGAACTTCAAGATAATGAAAAATGAACAAAAAAGGAGCATAAATTGTCTTCGAATACTCGTAGAGGGTGAGTCACCGTGACGGCGGTAAAATATTATTCGTACGTTCACGTTCGGGCATAAATTTTGCGAGCTATTACATGGCGTCCGCGACAAAATAATGAACTGAAATATCATTAGCTGTTTGTGTATGGAATCCGTACACATGCAAAGTTGAAAATCTTCAGTCATGGAAAATTATAAATCATGCATTGTTACTTAAAGGCTTTTGTATGGCTCATGCAAACTAAGTTAATTAAGAGTAACATTCAAAAAGGGTGACTACATATTATATAAATCTACATGACTTTGAGCAACAAGGTGGGCCACTGTATTTCTATAGTGTTTTCAGACATTTATTGTAGGCCTAACTACATGCAACAATAATTCAGCGTACTTGTTATGCATTTTTGTCACATTCTTCCAAAACCGTGTTTGCTCGTACGACTGGCGTTTAACTGCTTCTGTAAAGCCACTGCTAAAGGCCGTGATCTTAAACCTGCAGTGGCAGAAACGAAGGGGGTGCTAGGGGACCCCACGCCGCCCCATAGGAAATTTAAAGATCAAAGAAATAATAGTATTTAATTAATAAGATATTGCGTGCTCCTAAGTACAAGACACAGCTCCCCACCCACGCTTGCAACTCTGCAGGTGGCAGCTAGTCATGTGCTTTTACCTTGCGAGTTTCTCTGACCATATATGCATATAAACCAAAAAAACGGGCAACTTCACTTGGCGACAGTTTATTTTTAAACTTTTATGTTCTCCTGGGCGGCCCACTGTGTCTTTTGTTTGTCATCTTGTGTGTGGAATTGCCCGAATGAATATCTTAAAATTAAGAACTACACCCCAGAAACACAGGGGCGTAGCTAGGATTTCACGGGGGTGGGCATAAAGGGGGCACCCGCATCTTATGGGGGAACCAGCTTTCAGTGGTGTGGTTTTTGGGGCAAGATTTTGTAAGTCTAGTTCGACGGTATACATTCATCCGGTTTTTTTTCTGTGGGGGGGGCACCTGGAATTTGTGGGGGTACGTGCACCCAGTCCCCCCTCCCCCAGCTACGCCACTGCAAAAATAAGGAACGGAAAGTTTGCTACAAGGTTCACACAAACTTGTAATTGTATTTTATCAGAGAAATCAAAGACCTAAGCAAAACCGTAATCTTACAAATGCTATGCCTCTCATTAATTCTTGCAATGTTGATAATCAAACAGACAATTACTCTGTAATTTAGATGATTTATGCAACAACTTGACAGCAAACTGCAGCCATCATGAATCGGTATTATTTTTGGCAAATTGCCATTACTCCTAGCTTTTCTTTACAGCCCCATTGACAACGACGTAAAAAATGTGCCAGAAACTGAGGGTTGGGGAGAGGGAAATTTGAAAAGCTGCATCTGTACGACACTAGGGGGCGGTGTTGCTGAAAGGGACGTAAATGATACACCTTATATTTATATACTTTTTGTACTACGGGAGTCAAATTCAAGCTTACAGTCGACTAGATGCAGTCTAAGTAAATATACTGACATGTTTTTGAAAACCTTACACTCGAAAACAATATTTGTGGTGAACAGAAAATTGAAAAAGGAGAAAGAAATGCACTTCTATTTAATTTCTATCCATGAAAATAGTTTCTTTCTTGATTTGCTGACGTTTTAAAGAGAAGATCAGAATGCTCCGCGTCCACAAAATGACCAATTTATTTGAAATTTAGAACGCAGTTTACAAACCGTGATGCCATGCAGAAAAAGGAAGAAAAACAAATGTGCGTTTTACAAAGTTGATCGAGTTAGAGAGCAATCCAATGTAAATCTATCCAGAATAACCCCTTTGCTCTGTCAAGTTTGAAAATTCGGCACAATTAGTTCTGGTCCAGGCTGTTCAAATATCGTCTAATTGGTTAGTTATTTCCAAAAAGCGATGTTTAAAGTTGTTCCTTGTCTAAAAGCAGTCGTTCTGTCATACTTAAGTGACTGCTGATGGTTGAAGGTTTGTACCATCATTTCTTGTCCACGTCTATTGCTACAATGAGAAAAGCCAAAACTAAGTGGCATCGGGGTCGTTCAAGGCCAATGGTGCGTACATGTCTATGCGTTTACTGCGCTTTTTCATGACAGCAACCAGTGTGCCGAGTACCAGCACACAGCCGACCGATAGACAGACGGTCGTCAGAAGGATTGGCTGCTGGACCGATGACGATCCCGAAGAAGCTTCTGGGGAAAAGAAAATATAATTCTTTGTGAGTTATCCTTTCCCATGTGGAATGCAGTCAGCAAGAAATGAGAAGGTGATGGAAAACTGAAAAAAGAAATAGATCTGATGCAATCCCAATCAAGGAACTAAACAGGCGCGGATCCAGGGGTTTGGGGGTCGACCCCCTTAAAATATAACAGATTAAATAATGAGTATAATGACAAAAATAACTAACGTGAGGGCACAAATACCATTGTACACAACGTGTGACATGTAATGTTTCATCATTGTTTCTGCTGGGCTGCAAAATATGAAACATTACCCAAATCTCCGGCCTGATCACGATCCCCCCTGAAATAATTACTGGATCCGCCCCTGCTGAGCTAAAGCTTGCCTGTGGCCCCGTTTAGCAAAATCAGTTAGGCTCCATAAAATCTTGCTTCAGTCCAGCTTTGCCCAGACAAGTTAAACCAGTTCTAACCCAGTCAATGAAAACTCAACTCACTGAGCCTGACCCAGTCTGGTCTTAGCGTACAGCTGGGCCAGCTGATCCAGTTTCATAGTTTTACAATGAATTTATTGGGGGGTTGTCAAAGCAAGATACTTTAATTAGTAACCCTGGTCAGTGGTCGCCCAAACCTTGCCTGGTCAACTTCAGTCTAATCGACCGCCATGCTATCTACCTTGTCAAAAACTCTCACACCCATCAACCCATAGTCAGGTTCCTCTCTTTACCTTTGCCTCCCTCCCTCCCCAGTGATATGGGTCCTTGTGTGATGGGGTAAACATGGGAACCAGACATGGTGGATCTAGCATGTCGTTTATGCATGTTCAGCTGAGATCTGCCATCACCGGCTGGACATCCCACGGCACAGCGCGAGTCAGGATCGCTAGCGTTGCAGAGAATCATGTCGCAGTGAACGTACACCTGTAAGGCAGAAGACATTTTCATGCAGCCAGATTACAAATCCCCTGCATGTTTTTATGATTCTGTTATCGCCATTTAATCAAAGTAGAAAATAATTAGAAATGTGTTTATTTCGGTTCCAGTTGTATTGTTTCACTTTTAGCCATTTTGTGGTATTCAAAATATTTTAAGTTCATTCATCCATCAAGCTTAGCCATTCTCCTCATAATGCATTAGCATGGCACCAGCTGGTCTGGAAATAAACCATTTCGGTTTCGCCTCACCCTCTCCTGTCACAAGTCTACAACTCCTCTTCCAAATCTCCTCAACATAACCACGCAGGGTCTCAATTACAGCGACAAGCCTTTGCGGTAAACAACCTTCTTTGCTATTTTCAACCTATTGCTAGTTAAAAGTTGCCGGTACAGCACTTGCGATAACAAAGTACAGTGGCCTACTTCCGAAGGAAGTAATTAATACTCCACGACAGTGCGCTGTTATTTCCCCCTGTTGTTTTGAAGTGGAGTTCATTCCCAGGATATCAGATGTATATACCTACCACTGGTTGGGGTAGGGTATCCATGAATGCAAAGACTTCGACCTGAAAGCGTTGAACGTGCGGATCGTACGATGGATGGAACACCAATGTGTAATCCTTAATGCACCTGTAGGGAAATAAGTTTCAAAGGTCCGACCATTCCTTTTACCAGTAACTCAATCAGAATTATTTGACTTCCCCTAAGGTAACATCATCGGCTTAGCTAATATAATTTTAGGCAACCTGCATTATTACAACAGGTTGAACGCATCGCGTACGCAAAACACCCTAAAAACGTACATATGGAAAGACGCCAACAACGACTATAGTTGGGCCTACAGTTCAACCAACGTTGCCCGAGCGTTTGCGGGTTTGGATCTACCATCCGAAGATCATGGAACCAGACCCTGGGGCATGGTTGCATCATCGGTTTTTATCAAACAACCTATTTCATTCTCCAAGACGGAGGGATCGAATCATTCACGTAAGTATAGTTTGGGATTATCATTGGGCATATAATGGTGAGAGTTGCAGCTTGGGCCGTGTCCGAAACGGGCTTCCAGAGCTACGGCTAGGTCTATTGTCTACGCGTCTCCACGCATTTCCAATGGAGCCAACACCTAGACCTAGCTCTAGACAAGAGATTCGGATGCAGCCTTAGTCAACGGCGAGCCATGATCACATATACTCCACGAATAGCCGACTGGGGCGTTTAAGTGTGACTTTGTGATTACGCGTGCACTTGTTCAAAAGAAATTCATCAAGGATCAAGTAGTTGTGCCCTCACAGAGCCCATCGCAGCACCCTCCTGTGTGCTCTCACAGTGTTCATTAACCTCACCCGTTTTGGATGAAAGTGTAACGATGAAAGTCGTTTGAGTTGGAAGTCGGCGTCGCGCGGCACGTCTGGAGAAATAACTCTAGGCCCGGCTCACTCCACGTGCGAGCCTCGAAGTACAATGTGTCGCCCATCTTGAAGTCGACAGGGTAGTCAGCTGGGAGGTAGGGCGTGGCGTAGTCGTTGGTGCGGTAAAGGCCTAGAGAAAAGTTGAAGGAGCCAAACTCTTCTTCATAGTATGTGATCTTGGAGGTATCAGGACGGAAGCTGAAGACAGAAATTGAAATTGGTGTCATCATCTGGGTGAAAATACCAAACATTTTTAAAGGTATTAATTAGAAATGTCAAAGGGGTCTGAGGTTCTAACTTTGCCCGGTTCCCCGCAACCCCCCTTTACATCCTTTCTGGGTTCACACTGCATCGGACTGGTATCCTTATATCTGGTCCTTGAGTTCTCATTATACCTAGTTCGCTACAGTCCATGCAAGTCCATTTCTCATTGGACTAGAATTTTAGCATCTTGGACTAAGGTTCCAACTCGGTCCTCTTCTCTGCAACTCACCTTAGTTCAGCCATACCTTCCAAGTCCATAATGCATTGGACTGGAATCTCAATATCGCGGTCTCGTGTTATAACACCGCCCGGCTCCACAGGGACAGCCTCGTCATGAATGACATTGAAAAAGATCACATTATCGCCTCGAACCTGAAAGAGAACACAATAAGAGACATTTAAATGCAACTGCGTTGTTGTCAGGTTCACTACTTTTATTCGGTGATAAATCTTTACAATGCCAACATTTGACAGTCAACAGACCTCAAACCCCCGAAACTTAACAATAAGAATAATGGCTTAAGCTTAAGATAGCAAAACGTTTTGGTAAAGTGTTAGCCAAGTACTTTACACCAACTATATAGACCAGTGTCCAAAGTAGCAATAAGCCATGTGTTATACTACTTATAGGAATGAGGTCGTAGGTGCTAGTTCTGTTGAACAACATCCACAGCAGCAAGATTATAGTCCTAGTAGATTGAAATGATGGATGAAGTTCCCATCCACAGCGGCAATGTTACTCTACTGATACATTAAGCTCGTGGGTGCTAGTTTTGGACATCGGAAGCAGTTGAGATAATGTGTGTTGCCTAGTTTTGGACATCGGAAGCAATTGAGATCATGTGTGTTGCCTAGTTCTGTACATCGGAAGCAATTGA